CTTGAAATTGCAAACACTCCTGGCAGGAAATGAATCAGAAAGGTAGAGCGTGAAACAAATGTCCGACCTGCTTCTGGCGTGTTAGGAAACTGGGAGAAGTGGTTTATTATCTGTTTATTCTCATCTAAAATCAAATAAAAATGGATGCAGAAAATCTTTCCCTTCACAAACACACCGAGCCCTACATCCTTGGCACATTTAAGAAAAGTGTTAAAACTCTACTAATCATGCTGAAAATATTCCCTGATGTCAGACAGAAACTGTTGGAACGTGAGAAAGTCCAGGACTATAAAAACCATGGAAACATTCCCACACTCAAACAGCTGATTTGTGTTAGACGACATCATCACATCCATGAAATGACATCAGTGTGTCTCCTGGCTGCGTGAGGACACTCCYGCCTGGAAGAGATGAGTGCTGCTGATCACAGGATCTGTGGAAATTTTCCCAAAAGGGTCACCAGAGATGGACCTTTGAGCTTCACTGAGACCTTTTCTGGACATCTGTCCCTAAATCACTTGATAAGAACGCTGAAATCAGCACCTCTGCTTCTCTACCAAGATCTCAGGCATCACTTTCATTTCATTCAGTCTGTGGCTGCTGGAAAAGTAGTTGATGCAAAGTGTTGTTTTTAGGACAGAGATGGGGTGTATAACATTCAGTCCTCGACCAGAGACCGTTTGACCTAAAGTTGACTGAAGTAAGGGTAGCACTACTTGATCGTATCGTCTGATTTAATATTTTAAAATGATCTTATCAGACTTGACAAAAAAATAAAAAGTTATGTGCAAATTCTGGTGTTTTTAAAGACTAAAGTTAAATTATTACAAACACATAACATGATTACAAAATAGCAAACTCCAGCTGAAGAAAGCTTTACAATTTAAATATTTCTCATGATGAATCTTAGAGTAATGTACTTCCAGTGACTATTTTCAGATTCAGATTTGCTTTATTGTCATTCAAACATAACATCAGAGATGCAATAAAGAATAAAATGCAGTTAACAGTCTACTGTTTCACTAGATATTCACGTGACCTCCAAATGTCTCAGCAGAAAGAAAATATCATTAGAGCAACAAAGCTTACTCCTTACTTACTGTGGGTGGAGCATTCAGACATTTTACTCAAATAAGTGTAGCAATACTTCATACTAATACTACTGAAGTACAACTAAAAAGTATAGTGTAGTGAAACTACTCCTAAAAGTATTTTTTCCAGAAATTTTCTAAAGTAAATGTACCCACCTCTGTTTGGCAGTAG